ATTGTATATGGCATTGATTCTAAATACGTATGTTCGTCCCAAGTGAGAGAGAATTATTATAATTATACGCAAACAATATGGCAACACAGTTGGAGATCCATGTTTTTGCCTTTCTTTTCTTAGGTAAAAAGCAAGCATAGTCGCGCATAAATTCTTCTTTCTTTCATTTGAATTTTTAATATAGATTTTTAAGTATGTACTAAAAGGTAAAATTTAATTTAATTTAATAAAGAAGACCCCTAAAAGTACAACATGTTCCATCTGTTTTGATTAGAAAATTGTGTGGCAAATTGTATTTAGAGCTTTATAGAATTACTTCAAATATTGTGCAGTTGATTCTATTGTTCCTCCTCTGGGTCTGGTTTGTTATTCCTTGTTTCTATTATAATTAGATAGTGTAGTGTGATCGCATATCGTCGTATGCATCCACTTTGAAGTGCGACTGTAGCAAAAAAAGAAAAACAAAAATTTTGTCGCACTTCACCTGGCTGAGTATTGCATCTTGTAATGCAATATGATGCCAGGCGCCGCAATTTAACAATTATAATTTTGTTTAGATAAGCATAATTTAGTATAGAAATTAAGTATAAATAGTGCACGTTTTAATAAAGAACTCAATTGCTATCAAACAATTCATCTTAGCGTTTAATTCGCTGGAAATTACAAGGCGTTCAATCCGCCTGAACCACAAACATTAGGAACCGTCTCATGCCGAGCTATATTGGCAATTTGTGAGACGGAAAGACTTGGCGCACTGAAGCCGAGAGGAATAGGGATATACCCATTCTACCACAACTCCCTGTTGCAAATAAACTTCATTTATATTACAATAGTTTATGGTCGTTGTTCCTGTGTCAATCAAAAATCTTGAATTTTCAGAATTTTTGATGTTTAAATGAATGAAACTTGTCGTATTGAAAGTTTTAAGATGCAATAGTGGACTTTTGATGCTTTATTTATTCTAGTATTCTCCCAGAGTTCTGTAGTGGCATCATGAAATCCATGACTGAGTCGTTTCTTTGAAAACTTAGTCTTGTGGCCTATGGACATTATTTTTGTTCCTTACTTTGATTTCTTTAGCTGTAGAAGTGGTTATTATTGCTGTTATTATTATAACGAGTCCGTCTGTGATTATAATTTCTGTTATTATAGGAGGTGGTGCGTTTAAAAGGTGTGTTACTTCTGGGGGGGGTTCTTAGTGTTTTGATTTGTCTTGTGGTTTTAACCGGTTTAGTTGGTTTTTAGTTGGTTTTTAGGTATTTGATGATTAAAATTAGACTTGGTTGTTACGTTGATTCGAATTGTTAGTGTGATTTTTACGTTTTACATACATTATTTTTGGGTTAGTCGTTGTAGTTTTTCATATTCTAATGGTTCTGTAAAGCTTAGATTGGGCTGCAGATACCACTTATTTTATATTCTCTTCCAAACCATTTTCAGAATTTTTACAGCATAAGTATCGTTCATAACAGTTATTACTTTCTTTTCTTGTTCACTGGTGGCATTATACCCTTCGTAGTTCTTTGGTCTGCAGTTCATTTAATTCTCCTATAAACTTTAAGATTTTATCTTTATATCTTGTGACTATTTATTTCCGGTTGGCTAACTTCTGACAATGGCCGTGAATAATCCTTGTGGATTAGTCACTATATTCTAATCTCGTCTTTAGTTAAGTTGTTGGGCGAATGATTCCAATTAAGAGCAGTTCGGACATTTGGAACTAATTTGCATTAGAAAAGCTACTTTATCAACTTTTTTTTAGCAGTTGATAATGTATTGTTAATTATTTCTATTACTTTTAAAAATGTTACCAGATTTTTGTTGTTTCCACAAAAATTGGTATAACTTTAGAATATTAAATTCTTCCAACGTCGCTTTCATATCACTTTGTATTTCTCTGTTTCTGTTTTAATTTCTTGCTCTTTCAACAACTCTTTAGCTACATCGCGTTTTTGCTTAAAAATTGCAAGCTTTTTTAACAGTTCTTACTGATTTCTTGCCCTTTTAATACCTATTTGATTATATCGTACTTTTGCCTGAAAACTGCAAGCTTTTTTTAATAGTTCTTACTGATTTAAGTTTTCGCTTTGTTTTAAGATATTTATCCCTTTCTTGTACTCATACTATTTTTCAGTTCTACTATCACTTGAGATCTGAACACTTGAGATTTGAACCCACAACCACTAAGTTGCTAGTCGAGGCTCTTGCCTACTCGGCTCAATATAAAATTAAATTATTAAATATGCATTATGCATTTCATAACAAAGCATAAAAAAGTAGTATATATTTATAAATATGTAAATATTATTTTATGGTCTTTGTTGCGCTATACTCTTAAATATTTTATAATTTTTAATATAATATACACGGTTAAGGCAATGCCTATTATGTATATGTGGCTCTCTCTTACAGTCGCTACTCGGTTATTTATTTCTTTTTTGTCTAGTATCCTTATTGTTGCGTCTATGTCTTATGAGTTATATTCCTTTGCTGTGGCTCAAACGGAATAGGACATTTTGTCTCGTTTATAAAGAAGTTCAGGCGTCTGTTTGCCTTTCGTGTTCTTTGAATTTCTTTTTACTTCTCAACTTGCTCATAGGAATTTTAGCGTGAACTTTGTTTATTATTTTTTTTTCAGTCGAGGATGGCATTGCTGCTGCAATTATCTTAGTGAGTAAATACGTCCTCCGATCTTATCCACTTCGTTTTAAAGAGACAATTTACGACGGAACCTATGTAGAAAAGTTAAAATAGGATTGCAATCCGACTGTAGGCTTGTACAATGACACAGGCTACTAAACATTTTCTAATATACGGTGTGGGTTTTCCCCAGATATAAATTCTGTAAAATTAAATTTTATTTACATTATTTTATAAATACGTTTGGTAAACTCCACGGCCGATATTTGTTAAAATCATCAAATATTTGTAGTTTTTTCGTAACTGAAATTTTATTGTAAATATTTATATATGTGAGGTTCGTCTTTTGCAAACGCTATTACAGATAAATCTAAATTATTTCATCCATTTACTTTATATTGATGTAAACTAAAACACCCTAGGCATAGGGTATAAAAGAACAATTGAGTAAATATTGGAATATAATGGGTATTGGTATTCCTTATAAAATTGGATGAGTTTATGCACAAAGCATATTTTGCGGACCATACCATGATTATAATGTATATCTACTAATAATTGCAAGATCAAGAACGCCACAATGCCGAGCAAGAACGACCATTAAATATCCTACACTACTTCGATTAGTTGATAATAGACCAAACGTCATACAATATATTTATGTAAATACATAATAAACCCTCGTATTGTGGGACACTCAAAAGCCAACATGGGTCAAATTTAGCAAGCTTAATTTACTTATCAAAGATTTTATTATTTTCCGATTATTTTCGTCATAGCAAACCACAAATTCGGCTGTTTCATCGTAGAAGCGTTTGCTTTCATGAGAGCCTCTCTGTAGAGTGATGTTTAAAAAATAGATCTACGTGATCCAAATTTCCTATGGTTGACTTACTAAGAAAAAATGTTCATCATAAAGTATTAAAAATTAAAACATTTGGCGTGTAAAGCCTTACTTTTTATTAGAACTCTTATAAGGATTGGGATTCAAAAAATACACCTGCGTGGTTAATTTTTATGTGAAATTGTTATTATGAACGGATTTTTGTTAAAAAATATTGAAAATTAAGCATTTTTACCATACAAAAAATTATCTCAGGAAGGATTACATGGCAAGCGTTCCAAAAAATGGCCAGATCCTATCTAATTTCACTAATTACTAAGCGATTTTTGTCGGAAAATTCTAAAAATTAGAATATTTTTCAAGTAACTTATCAAAATAAGACGTTATATACGGAGTGAATGAAAGCACAAGTGCTCGAAATGTAGGTGCTATTATATATTGGGTATGGAAGTCGAAGCAGAAGAAAATAAATGAATTATAAAATTATACCAGAAAAGATACGTAAAAGAGCTATGGAAAAGACTATTTGCTCTACAGATGCCTTTTGGGGACTGGCCAAAATTATGGAATACTCTATAGTGGCTTTTCAGTTAACTTTGCTGAATATTCAATTTCATAGCAGTGATAAAAGCTACAAGTCGTTAGAAAGTGAATATTTTGTCACAAAAGATTGAATTTATTCGCAGTTTCGAGAAGAAAATCTGCCAGAAAAAAGCATGTAGAGGATTCCTCAAGCTGTGATAATATAATTACCTCATTTTTTTTTTGTGGTTAAAAATCAAATCGTTAATCGGAGGAGTAAATATATTCATGTCGAATACCATTATATACATTTTTTGGAAAGCCAAAGAAATTGATATCAGACGTCATCACCAGATAACGTACCTGAAAATTTAGCTAAATTCTTGCCAAACATAAAACATTCGAAATTTCATACTATGTTATATATAGAATTTTGAAAGAGATATAAAATGGCATCCACTATAGGTTAAGCGGAAGATTGTTGGACTGTGAGTTAAGTTCTTAAGTTCTTCTATACTTAAAATTCTATGCTTATGCTTTATGTAATGCAGTTAACTTATCGTGATGAAAGGCTTTTAGACCATGGTTTCAGAAAAATAGGCGGCTAGTTAATGTTGCTAATTTACATACTTATAAAAAAAAATGTTTTTCCTTGTTTGATTTATTTTTCATCAGGTTTGACGTAAAAAGCTGCTTTAGGAACGTTATGCCTATATATAAACATACAATCTAGTGCAAATGTACACATTCATCCACAAATATATATATATATATATTTATACAAACCCAAAAGTAAATCTAAATGACAACAACCACTAGTGGTACTGATAGTCGTAGTAAGGTTATTAAATTAACATTTCAGCCATTGCCTCATTTGATTGCCACACTAATAACAAACGTTATCAGAAACACGGAAAATGAGTCAAAATATGACTTGCAAAATTTGATGAAAGTATCCCACTTAAAGTATCCACCTTAAACTGATAAAAGCTGATTATCAATTTTTAAAGCATAGCAAGCAAAAAGAAACATGTAAATAACACAGTCATTCTTTTCGAAAGCAATCTTTATATTAAAATTATTTAAGCAAACAGCAGACAGAAATTACAATAAAGGCGAATTCCAAGAATTATATTTTAACAGGTAATTTTTATTCTAAGACTACATAGGGTAACACCGTTAACAGTTCATCGTTGTAAGAATGCAATTGTAAGACTTCGTGCCATTCTTTAAACTGTTGTAGGCGGCTAGAGTTTCCATGCTGAGGTGTGTCCTTATCGAATGCCCGTACGCCAATACGATATTCCTCGTATGGAACGGCAAATTTAGATTGATCAACCTGTTTTGTCTTTGATTTGACCTGCTGACGAAGTTGCCTCTCATCTTCATCCCAAGTATTACTACCACCACTGCCACTGTCGTTATTAATATCATCAGTAGGATCTAAGTTTTTTTTCGCACACGCGCTTTTATCAACTAAGCCCTTCAAATTAATATATTTACCACTATGATTATTAGTTGTGTATACACTATAGACATCGCAAATTGCATTTGGGATTTGTTCAATCATTAATTTATTATGATGTTGCAGAGATGGAGAAAGAGTTTCTTGATTACTTTCATGCCCCAGCTTTTCTTGACTTGAAAAATAATAAATATTATTGAATGACGAAAGAAGATTATTATTTTCCAATGGCAAATCGTCGTCGCCAATATGTTTGTCACAATTTCCATTATCATCACAATCACGGTGACAAACGTTTATTGAAGTATTTGAACTGCCGGTTAAATATTCTGATTCAGACGGAGATATGGAAGTTTGCAACTGTTTTGTATTAAATTCACAAGAAAGTTTAATACGGCTTACTTCTTCATGCGCTTCAACCAATTTTTTGTAGCAGCCACTTTTCTCATTCTCTAGATGCGCACTGCCAACTTCCTCTTCGCTACTAAAATCAGTGACATCGTCTAATATTGAAGCGCCAAGTTCTTCCGAAAAAAACAACTGATTATGTAAATTCCCTTTAGAAGAACCCATTTTTTTTTCTAAGCTCCCTCTTATTGAAATTTGCGTCCCTAGGGTTTTAACATCGTCCCGTCTTTGAAATTTGGAAGTTAACTTGCAACCTGTTTTCTCTTGCTGAACTTGGCTTTCTTCGGCTGTAATTAAGCTAGCTGCTAATGCGGGGTTTCCCCTTGGTTCTATATATCTGTCTTGAGTGTACATATTTTTCCCAATATTTACGAAAGCTTCCGATGAATTGGCGTATGGGTTTGTACGGAACTTACTTTTGCTAGGAGTCTTCTTTATAGTAAGCACTATTGAGGTAGAATTAGATGAACGAGCTATTACTTCATGAAAATCACCACCGCACTCATTGCTTCCCTCATCATAGGCTGCTAGATTACGTTTTTCAGAAATGCAGTTGTCCATTTTATCGTCTTCATCTTCATCGTCATTAGTTTCTACTACAGCAGAATTTTCGTTAATAAAGTGGCTATCGATTTCAGATAGATCTTCTTCTTCATCTGTGCTATTGATGTTGGTATTGCTTAACGCTACTTGCTTGTGCGTAGCTATATCACTGTTAGCGGCAGTTTTCAATCTCTTAATAGTCCGACGACATCCATGCTTACTTAGAGTCCTTTTTTCCATTATTTTACGCTTCCTATATTTGCTTTTCCAAAAACCTTCCTTATCTTGCTCACAACGAGTATTTTCCTTGTCGTAGTATTTTGGCTCATTAATTAGTTTTGTTTCATTATCACTAGAAGCATTGCCCTCACTTTTTCGTCGCCTCCTTAAACAACTTACACTATTATCATCGCTTTCAATATGCTTTCGATTTAAATGTGGTGCTGCTAAAACTAAAAGAGGTGCAGTTGTCGTCTGATCGCTAAAATAGTTACCAGTACGTATAGGAGTGGTCTGTGAAGAATCAGACACATTGACAAATAGATTAATGTCGTCTTTTGTTACAGGGTCAGCGCTCCCTTCATAATTAGCAGAAGTTGATATTTCACTTTTTTCTAACTGCTGATTTTCTTCATCAACCATCGACAAGGTACTTCGAGTTTCCGTGTTATTTCTCTGTATAGAGTTTCCTACCAAAGTTGTTCTCGCCACACCAAGGAATGGCAAGTTCTTTAATTTTTCTATTAACAATGAATTCCTTTTACGTTTGTAATTACTTGTAAAAAGTACAGCAGTGAGATCTTTAAGAATGCGTTCTTTTATAAGGGACCCATATCGAGGGACCACGTTATAGCCGTCAACCATTTTCTTCTTATCTAAATAATCAGTTTCTACGATCACATTTTTCAGCTCGCATGAATGATTCCAATTGCCGTTAACGTGCTCTATGAAAGTATTATGTAATGCTTTAATGTGAAATCCAGTGATTTGTTGGGTTTCAATTTCAAATCGATATTTTGCTTTGCATTTCGGATCCTCCTGTGTTTGATAAATGGGTATGTTAGGATGACGAGTAGGTGATAAAACGTGTTGATTTGGTTGCTGCCTTTGGGAGGTAAACCTACTAATTAATATTTCCTTCCCGATTTCTTTTTCAACTAAACTTCGTTTATTGCACGCTTCATTCGATCTCTCTTCGTCTCCGCTGCAAGCAGACCCATTTTTCTTGTTAGCAGCCAAATCCGCGATTATTGTATGCAAAGGGTCTTCTTCATTATCATCAAAATCGAAATCAAATATCGATTTCTTATGCTTTAGTCTTGGCGTGAGGCATGAAGTTAAACTTGATGATAACTGCGAATTTGCAATTATATCGTGTTGAACAACTTTTGAGGCTATAAGTTCATCAGCAGCCGCTGCTACCGGCATTTGACATTGTTCCAAAGCAACGGTTATGTTGGAATTCGTTTGATTAATGTTGGTTGAATCTTCGTCAACTTTCTTGAATTTGTCGACATCTCTGAATTTCTCGGGCGTTATCTCGACAGTCGTGCAAGTACATGGTAAGCTGTCTTCCGTAAATTTAATCAGCGAAACGGGAACAAATTTTTTAGTCAGCTCACAAATCTGAGCTCTTATCGCTGAAATTGAGTTCACTGTTGTTACAGCAACGCTACAGGCGTTTTCTAATGACTCTGATTTTATGTCAGAGCAGGAATTACTATTTGCGTCTTGCGTATGATTTTCCCGTGGAGTTATCGATACCATCTTTGAAGCCAGTATACTATCATCTGTCAGCGTAAAGCTATCATCTACAATATTACGTAAAGAGCAGGAAACACAATTTCAATAAACATATATTATACAGTACCTGGATGAGTTTCCGCAATTGATTTGTCGGGTGTAGAGCGCGTGGCGACGGTAGACATGGTAGCATTTGTTGAGCAGGCATCTAAGGTACGCGGTGAATGTAGTGAAGGCTCTTATTTGTTCATAGAAAAAAAAAATGCCGTACTACTTGATGTGGTTGCTATTATATATATGTTTCATACCTGAACAAGACGATTCGGGCCCTGAAAATGCTTGTTGTTGACTCTGTAGTTGCGAGCTTATGCTAGTGGAGGGCGATATTACTACTTCTGCAAGCTCAGATGCTTCTGCAACTAATTTACGACTTTTTATTTCAGCATAAAGCTCTTTTGTTGTTTTCACCTTTTTAACTCCAATACCCAACGATGATATTAGCATTTCGGATGATAAGCTGACTTCCTTTGCAATAATGGAATCAATCCCTTTAGAACCCTTCTTACGCCCACGTTTCTTTGGCACCTTTACCTCATCTGTAGTACATATACGTGACACTGCTTGTTTCATTTCAAGTATGGGCACAATCGAATCTTTTAAGTAAGTAGACGGGGTGTAATTCTCATGTTTATATGTACCTTGTTGCTTTTGAACAATTGTGTCGTCATTGTTTTGACTTGTGTTGTAAAAAACATGCGGAAATTTTTCAGCTTTACCCAATTCAAACTGTGAAATACGACTGTTTGAGGTGCTATCATTTGAGTTAATTCCCACACCGCCAAAGTGTGTAAACTTAGTTGATGTTTTTGGTGATATCTTCACATCCAGTACGTTAGGTGAAGAGCTTTGGTTGTTGTTGCTGGCGGTAGAGCTCACGCCATCAATAATAACGTCACGGTTACATTTGTATTCTGAAACACGGTCACACGTGGGCTGTCCTGAAGCCTGTTTGAATTTGCCGGCAAATGTCAAATCTGACTTAGGCACTTTGTCCACAACTTGTGATTGATTATTCGTCATGGACACTGAACAATTCGCATTAACCATTATTTTTTCCATAGGAAATACTGAACTTATGGAACTATTTGAAAGCGAAAGAATTTCTAAAAGATAAAAAAAAAATTAGTGGTTTTTCGTAGTTTTTCTCTTTCGCAAAAATTGATAAGCATACCAGAGATGCTGGATATAGGACACACTGAACACGACTTTGTCTCTCCAATGAAAGGTTTGCTCACACAATCGTTGTCAAGAGAAGCCACGTCGAATTCAATGGAATTGGTTGCCTCTCGACGTTTTTTATTTACCCTGGATTTTCGAGATTTGGATGAAGACGATATGCTATTAACTTTTGGATCAACAACTAAATGGTGTTCATTGGTCTCCACGGAATTTGTGTCTTGCAGATCAATGATTATCGGAGGAACATTTGCAGTTTTGGTGCAATTCGTACAATTGGAGGGCATAAATACGATCTCGGAATTTGAATTCGAAGAATGGTCTATGATTAAAGTCTCTACTGCTTGTACCGTATCAGTATCACGTTTTGCAATTGCTTTATGCGGCTTTACCGATGAACCCCTCGAATTACCACATACGTTATCACTGCTAGCATTTAGGCCCGATAATAGATTGGCAAAACTTGTGGGTTGTTGCTGCTTCTGCTCATACGCGTTTCTGCTTAATCTCTTTGTACTGCTTAGATTAGCACTTTTGGTCAAGGATGAAATTGGAGCAGAGTTCGATGTAGTGTTAGGCAGAAAATCGCTATTGGCTTCAATATTTCTAGAGTAAATGAAATCATTTGGTAAATTCCGTTCAGTTTGAGAGTGAAATTGCAATGGTCGCTGGGACTGTGGGTAACTTTGATTGGATTGCAGGCTATAGTTAGCAGAATCAGATTGAAAACGCATCTGAGTTGCTTGCGACGGTGGTTGCGATGGCTCCGCTCCAAAGTTAGACATAGAAAGGCCCGATATGAGAGGAGTATTGTTTACATGTAAGGTCGTAGTTAACGTTGCTTCATTTTGATGGGTTTGTTGCATGCCAACCATTTCACGCCACCTTTTCAGGAGCGACTTGGCCCGTCGAGCCAAATGTTCACACTTTGTACGCCGTCTCAACTGATTAATGTACTTCGCCAATCGGGTGGTCTCCAAATGTGCTTTTGTAACTGTCGTGCTTTCAAGCGTTGTGATAACAGATAGAACAGCGTCCATATTAACAACCTTTATATAATTATTAGTTATTGAATTTGGAAACGCTGTGCAATTGTCAGTTTAACTTACATCATAATTTTGATCTAGTGCTTGCGATAAACGTAAGGTTAGATCTAGAATCTGCCTATTATTCATTTAGAACCAATATGAATTGTTTCGGTTTTTTTACCGGTTATTTTGTTTTAGTTACTTTAGTTGTTGCTTCAGAAAATTTTTCCAGTCGCTAGATCCGAAACCATATCAAAACAATTATCGATGCCACCGTCGTTACCATCGAAAAGTCAATCCATTTCAAGTTAATATTTAAGACAGCCCCAAACAGTTTTCGAAAATAATTAGTTGAAACGGAGAGAACCAAATGTAGTTTTAGACACAGATGATTTAAGTAAAATTTTTTATATATGCAACACCGCACTTAATATAAAAGCCCAAGGTTCTAGAATGGAATGAAAAGTATCAGGTGAGGAAGTAACAGAGCTCTTAAAGCGAGTAGTACGTACCCATCAATTGAAATTTTTTTATAGGCAAGAAACTATATTCGTTTGTCTGTCTTTCTGGATCCTCAAGTTGATGTAAATATGATACGCGGCCATATAAGAGTTCGGCGTACAATTGCCCACGTGCGCAGACACGCCTATAACAGAAGTGGAACATGGTATATATACATCATATATATGTATACAGAGATATATGGTGTATATATGGTGTATATACATATTTGGACATATATTTATATATACATACATATATATAAATGTGTGTATGTTGTGTCCACATATGGATTGAGTATGTGTATACGTGTGTGTACGTCCCGTTGGCGTATAGAAAGACCGTACATATTTATATACAATTTTTTATAATGGAGAGGTAATGCTTTTAGTTTAAATAACATACACACGATTTCAAGAGACAAACACATATAAGTAAATTTCACCATTTATAAGACCTTCGATGTAAAATATTTCGAATACATTTATATACATTTCACAAATCGAACGTGTTTCTTTTAATGAATAAACTAACGGTAACAAAAACAGTCTGAAAATGCATTAACGAAACGTAGTGTAAACAACACATTGCTTTTCAGCAATGGTAGGTGACAATTATTCGTAGATATTTATGCGGATGTATTAATTAATTTTAATGTCACATTTGAAATTTAGCTTTTCTGGGAGGTACAACAAAACGGTTAATCACATGTGATAGATCCTTGATGTATTTCATCTGCACGGCAGGACGGAGTAAATGACAAACCAGTCGAACTGAAAATTGCAAAAACCCTTTGAAAAGAAATCCGAGAAAAATCGAGAAAGTCTAATTCATTAATTTTTTTTAAATGTGGTATTCCAAACGCTAACTATATATTTGCCCATTTCACAAATTTTTTTATCCAACAAGTGTGCTAAGAAGAAGAAATTGTTATCAGATGATATATTTTACATTTTGATTTTAGATGACAAAACATTCTTATTCTGCGATACAGGAAATTATTACGATTTACATGTAATGTGAAGATTGCGACTTATATATGAGAGCTGCGTAATACGCTGCGAAACTCATTCAAATACTGGAACCACTGTCAATATGAAAATCGCGCAAGCATCGCTACAGTGTGTTTTCCATATAGGGTCTTTTTGAGATTTATTTATGAAGAAAAAGGAACTTTTATAAATGTAAAATACCACTCTATTACAATTACGTCAGATACACACAGATATCTATGTGCCGTGGACACGTCCCACTGTTCACTACAAAATTTGTTAAAACGGTGGTTTTTACAAACTCCACTTTGTTTCTTGATAACTTTATAGTTGCAACATTCCCACTGAAATTCGAAAATATTGTCCGCCAAAAAGATGAAGTTGGTTACATCTCGAACTCCTTTATAGCATAAGCTTCATTATAGTGTCACTGTCTTCATTTTTTTTACATGGCTTACAAAGCTTTTAGATCTTTTCTTGTGCTCATTAATATGTTTTTTCTTGTATTATTTTATTGATATTTGTACGCTTTACTGAATAACATATGGCAACTAAACTATACATGATTCACAGCCAACAATGGCAGTTCATAAAACTATAGTTCTATAATTTCAATTTTGTTGACACACGCGTCTTCGCGTAGTATTAAATATTAAAAAATTATTTTTCTTTTAACTTTTGCAAAAGTTATTTAGTTTGGTACCCAATTTCACGCAATTTTTAGGCATTACGAGATTTTCTACTTTTTTTAATAGTGATGGCAGTGACAACGTTGAGGTTTTTATTTTTATGTTACACATTCATATTACACTCCTTATTTTACTTAAAGGTACAACTAAAAATATTAACTGAATTTACTTCATTTATTTCATTTCGTTTATTTTTCGTCTTTAGAACATAAAGCAAAAGTGGAAATACCTCTTTTCTGTTTGACACGAGAACGTCGAAAAAATTAGTTAATGCACGCACGGCATGCTCTATAAATGCTGAAATTTTATGCGAAGTTGAAATGAAACAAAAAAGTACTGAGCAAAAGAGACAGCATGGTATGGCACTCACATTTATAACTCTAAATTAAATACAACAACAAATCGCCTCGTCGTATAGTGATTATATTTACCTAATGATAAGTTTAATATTTGATATTCAATTGTTTTGACATTAGATAATAAAATAAAAAAAAATAGCTGAGGCGATACTATTTGTCAAGCCATGCCGTTGCATGCCTTTGTAAATACATATATGTTCTAAAGAATAGGCTTTATGTATTTATACTACCGTTAAATACATAAGGATTTATAGTCAAAATAATATCAAATGGAGACTGAAAGCTTGTTGCTTATCAGTATAATTTATTGTTTTAGTAGCCAACAATGAAAAATAAAATTCCATTTTCAATCTGTTTCCATTGAACATAAATGCATGCGGTCACAAAGTTGGACATTTTAAATCTATAGATGTCTGGTTTAACAGAAAATGTAAATGGATTATAGCTAGCTAAGCCAGCATTTCCCATAGCAGCACACCATAAAATCTGAAGAAAGATAGTTTACATGTTGCTCTTGTTAATGTTACTAAAAATTATCGTGATTGACAATGCTGTCACTCAACTTTCTGGTACTCATAAAACACTTTTAATCATTAGAAAATTAGTACTTGCAGGATGTCTACTTTGGCTTTAACCACTTATAAAATTAATCGAAATGTTATCATTTCGTAGATTGCTGAATACTAGTGAATGAATTCACGAATTCTTCTGCTGCTGAATGAATGAATTTCCCCTCAATGGCTTTATTATGTTCTTTTGTTTTTCTGAATTACTTTGCTTAATTTCATTGTCATGCTTGAAGTGTCAAACGTGATATAAACTATCAGATGTCACACATCACACATGCACACGAAGTAAATTTGTCGGGTTTTGTAGTGTATGCGTATTTATCATGGCTGAACTATAAAACAGCTGTTTTGGGGGAAAAAATTTTTCAAAAATCATTCCTAACAGTTGACTTCTATTATCAATTTATGCATTCATTTGACTTTGCCTAAGTAAAATAATCGAGTAACGCTAAGCTTAACCAGTCAAAAAATGTTTTTCATTTAAAAAATAACATGTATTAATTGCGCTATTTTTTACCTATAAAATTCATTGTACAGTTAAATGATGCGTTACCACACGAAGAACGTCAACGAGACTAAAACAACGGAATTGTATTAATGTAAAATATTTTGAGTCTGATAATAGACATAGCCATATAGAGTTTGTTCAAAATATAGAAATTATAGAAACGAGTGAAATTATATGTAAATTTCAAAATGCGTGTTAGACTTTAATTTTATCATCTTTGCTAAGATTTTTTAAGCAACTGAAAATAACCCGCATTTAAAATGTATAAATAAGTTTACCTTTATCTTATTGGAATTTATGAAAGCTTGGTTTTTTAAAAATGCATCATTCTGAAATCACAACTATGGATTGGATGGATTGCAAAAAAATTACAGAGAGAACGTGTAATCAAAAGAACAACAAATACAAGCATTTTAGGAAATATATTTTAATTCAAGCCTGGTGTTATTGCATTTGTTAAATTGCAAAATTTTCATTGACTTCAGGTGTAACTTTAATGGGAATGTCTTGTTTCCGACTGCAAACGTACGTCTCTTTTAATCGAAACTGTGTCAGACTAATAGAAAAATATACTGCTTGACTATGTTTCGCTCGCACTTATCATTTCTCACAATTACAAGCACTTTGTTATGGAGTCGATTTCCATATCTTTTACTTCAGCTTTATAGTCCAGCTTTAATGTGAATAATATGCCAAGTTTTTTCTTAATAGGGACAGTTGCCTAATTTTCGATATTTGTTGATGAAAATTGGCCAAATTCCTGATATTTTCTGATGATAGTGGTCAGCATGCGCAGGTGTTCAAATATACCTCTCCCACATGCACATTCGCATCTGTAAAACAACAAAACTGCTAACGCTTTCACTTTTTAGTTGGTTTGCATCACGTGTAAAAGCGTTCGGCATTGTTTGCCGAATTTCGGTGTTTTTTGAATAACGGGTGCTCAACAGCTGTTAAATACACTTCCTCACATCTGTGACATTAGAAAAAAGGTAAATATCTCATGTTTTGTGTTGATGTTACTTGTTCAGAGTTGCATGAAGAATAAAGAAATAAATTATCTTGCTAACAAATTTTCAGGGTTACTCTCTGTCGGCTTAAAATTCAAAGTCACAGTTTTAAATCTGATCGCATTTAAACACTCAAGCTGTACAAATTTTCGTTGAACTGGATGCATAAGTTATATTCCATTGGCTAAGCTCATACCTACTCTGTATACAAAGAAGAAAAAACTATAATTATTCAACAAAATCAAAGCAAAACAGAGAACGATTAGGCAGAAATGCTTGAATTTTTAAGAGATCCGTAGTATGTTTCGCGACTTTCGCGAAAGAGAACCGTTATGAAACAGAGAAGAACTCTATGGGATGCTTTTACTACCCCTACACTAGCTGAAAATGTAAAAGTAAAAGAATGTATTTGTACATATACATGTTTGCATAGTTGCATGTACGTTTCTACTGTAGGATTATTGCTTTGATCTATTTTATTTTACTTACTGCTATTTAATCTACTTTATGCAAGCTTTGCATTTTACAAAACTTTACTCCAATTATAATAACCTAGTTTAGCACAACAGTGTCTGTAAGCAATAACCAACATTTAATAATCTGGTTTAGCACAACTGAGACTTAAAGCAATAGCCTACATTAGACAAGAGGCTCGATTAATCAAATAGCCCAGCGTAAGTACAAACAAGTTACGATATAAGTTTGCTTATAAGCAATAGTGAAGAGATTAGTAAACAATAAGAAATCATCAACAAAGTGAAACACAACAATTAAAGAAACATTTAACAAACTAATTTATCGTGTATCACTCCAAGCTTTTAAATAGATGTGGTCAACAATTAGCCCAAGCCTTGCTTCAAGGATAACACATATAATAATATAGTTTCAAAATTTTGAGTTTACATTTTTATCTTTCACCGCATTTTACTATTAATATATCGATAGATGAAATATATAAATAATAAATAAAACGATCTGAAATCCAAATTAACTTGATCTTCTTCAAAACTAAATTAGAAAAAGAACACAAATAGTTTCATTAAATAACTCGTCATCCTCTTTGAAATCACATGGAATTTAGCGAGGGAAATCATTCTTTTCCCTCCTCAGCTCAAGTATCACGGCGTTAAATGACTTGTCTTGGTCGATTTTCCTCCTTAACAACTGGTATTGCTTCTTATTAATTGTACGAGTTCGTCTCTGAATCATTTTTCATTTTCGAGTTGGTTTCCAAGCAAACCGCAAGTTAGATGGCGTTTTCCGCTTCTGGTCTTCATTTTGCTAGCAAAAAAAAAAAAAAAACATTAAATCCGTTATTTAAATCACTAAATCTGCACTAAACAAAAATTAGATTTGCTATTTCAATACTAATTAATAAAGCACTAAAGTGTACTTACAGGCGTTCTCCGCTTAATATAGTACATGTAAAGCCACGGTTTCGACGCAACACGGTACAAAATCTGCGAAAATTATAACACGGACTTGATACAAGACGATTTCACAATATTAAATACGTTTCTTTCAATCGACTTTTGAATTTACTTTTATTTTATTGTTGATAAAACGAGCTTCAATATATGATAGATATTAATTTTTGAATACATTTTTAACTTTTTTATTCCATTATAATATCGCGTTGCATATGTGTTTTTTATAAAAACTTGAACTTAGCTTACTTTTTATTATTATTATAATTTTAGACTAATGAAATAAATTCTTAGACTAAAAAAAAAACATTGAGCACTAGCAACACAAGCTATCGGCTCTAATTTATAAAAGTATGTTAGATATTAAGCCTAGTAGTTTTAATAAAATAATATATTGTATTGATATTCTGTTCTGTAGCTGATTGTAGAATGTCCATAGGATTAGTCGCTCCAAATGCAATACTTTTAGCCAAGCAAAAATTAAGGCAGTCACAGAGGATGTGCCTTATTGTGAGAATTTGTCCACAATTGCAGATTGGAGAGAAGGACTTCTTTAAGATCCATTAGTGAGTAGCAATTGTATGACCAAGGCGAATTCTCGGAAATGTTTCAATTTTGATTTTCCCAACATTTCTTGGAAATGAAGGTGAAATTAATTGAAGGTTAATAGAAGAGTAGTGCTGATGATGGTATTGTAGATTTCCTTCTGTAATTTTCTCTTTAACTTTTTTTCCAAGGTATCTTTGAAGATCCAACTTTTCCATGACATCGTCCTTAGTTAGAGGAGCAGAAGCAGCATACTTTGCCGCTCGATCAGCCTGCTCATTTCTCAATAAACCGATATGACTTGGTACCCAAAGCATTATAATTTTGTGTGTTGTAATGATATTCCTTAATTTGTTGATGGTGCTCCATCTCGAAGTCGAACGATTCCGAATAGCTTGTAATACGGACAAACTGTCAGTAACAATGACGGTTTTGAGTTTGTTTTTATGGGAAAGGTTCGCAGCGTGAACGATAGTTATGGCTTCGGTAGTGAAGGTTGAAATAATTTCGTGAAGTATATGATGGAGAAGAACCTGACCTGAAGCTTCTACGCCACGAGCAGGTGGCAGACCAGAAGATTTTGAGCTGTGTATAAAAGATTCCAACCGTTATTCTTCAGTACTCGGGCTTTTAAGCTGTTAGATTCCTGAAGACGTAATTTAAAATATCTTCTTTCTTGTGCATAAACAACGAAATGCCCAAGGAGTAATCTTTTAAAATCCACGGAGGTTTAAAACCAAAATAGCGGAAAATTTTTAAGGAAGTGTTCAATTCCTTTGCGATGTAGTGAATTGCAGATGCGGGGACTCTCGAATTTTCTTGGCAATAATAACTTTTCTCACAACTTCACCGAGAATAGATTTGTTTGAATTAAGAAGCTTGGGGACGATTCTAGCTTTTAACTCATGAAGTCCACATTCCGAAGCTGGGAGACTAGTTTCAATTATAATATTGTTGATGGGCGTCATCTGAAAAGCATACCAACTTGCTCTAAGATGGACCGGTTTAAGGATGTTGATATTAAGTTTGCAGTTATTGCTATAAATTAGTTGATTTTGCTGAAACAAGCACTTTGGTAAGGTAAGCAAGCAACGTACTGTATAAAATTCACCCTTGTTAAAATAGAATTTTTTAACCGAAGACAGTGTGTTTTCCAACGATATTTGTTGGAAAACGTGAGCCCGAGAAAATGGAGCGCCTGCACGTTTAGTGCTGGTGAGACATTAATATGCATCAGTAAATTTCCGCATCACATATCTGCATTTGACAAAAGTGTACGTTTTTTAATTTTTGTATAGAAATTTTGGCGCCTGACGAGTCTGCCCATGTGGAGATCTCTCGTCCAATAGATTCGAGGATGTTGATTGCCTTCGTGCTATCTTTTTCTTTTGTTAAATGTGTACATTGTCCGCGTAGAGACAATGTTCGAATCTGGGTACGCGGCAAAGAATTTTACTAATTTCATTGGAAGCGATCTGAAAGAGTATGACAGAAAGAAAAGATCCTTGTGGAATGCCATTCATTAGCGGAAAGGAATCAGACAGATGATTGTTAATTCTAACTTCAAACCGCCGATGCGACATGAATGATTTGATGTAGTTGAAGAGTTTGAGCCCAACATTCCATGATTTCAAGAGCCTTAAAATAACATGAAGACCTACTCTGTCAAATGTTTTTCGAAATCAATTAGAAATGATTCGCAAAATGCTTTGCTTGTAAAATAATCAATATATAAAAAGCGTCGACGCGCCTTCTACCCCGCTTGAAACCAACTTGTTGCTTTGTTATCAGGTTCTTGGACTTAAGAAAACAAGGTGATCTAGACGCTATAATCTCTTCGAATACTTTTGAGAGGCAAGATAAGAGATTGGACGACAGTCCGATGCGATTTTTTGACTTTGGAATTGGAGCAACTGCTGCCAGTTTCCACATGTAGGGTATATGACCAGTCAAAAATACAGTATTTTATAGGTCCAGGAATTTATTTAAATTAGACATCTCATTTCAAATGAGATCCGATCTAGACCTGCCCCTCGATTTGGAGGGACAACTTTTAAGTTCTAAGGTAGATATACAATTTTCCAGGAAAATGGCACTGCCAATAGCATTTGAAAGAGAAATCGGAAACCTTTTATTTTCGATGAAAGCACTGGAAAAGTTGCTGTCAGAGGAGTATATCACACTTTTCCATAATAATTAGAAATCTTATCTGGCAGAAAGTTCATTCAAATTTGAAGTTCCATGGAGTTTGTTGATTTTGCTCCAGACAACTTTTATTGATGTATTTCTGTGAATTCTTTTCGAAAAAAGTTTGAAACTAAGTGCCCTTGATTCTCGTAATTCCTTCCTCAACAGAGCATTGGCCTTTTTAATTTATGTGGATGTTTGGAAGAAAATTTCGTAATAAAATTCTTAGGTATCTTGTAGCAAGGGTCTGATGCTACATGTACAACATTGTACTTGTGTTTTTTCGCTTTTTTGATTTACATTATATCGGTGTTTAAATTGTGTTATCCTATATAATATCTATCGGTTCGAACTAATCGGCTAAAGTACTTTTGCTTTCGTATTCTTGAATATTTCATACAATGGTTGTTAATGTAAAGCAGCAGGAGATAAAATATACACATCCGGTTTTCAGTACATAGTTTTTCCGCTTGTAATTTTAATTTTGTTTAAATTTTTATAAAATTTACAAATCGCAGCTTGTTACACTGAAACTTTCAAACGTTCATGCACTTTGCACTTTTTTTTTTGGTTTCCAACCAGCACAGAGGCACTCCTGCAACCAGAACAGAACCAAATTGCAAGTGAATCCCTAAGCCATCGCAAACAGGTAAAGGCTTAGCAACCAGTACAGTAATCAACACCAATTAATTTTATATTATTAATTATTATATTAAGGTTAAAAGTTACTTTAATTACGATATAGGCAAATCGCGCGTATTAAGCAACGTTGTTTTGATAGACTTTAAAGAATCCGATATTGAGATTAAGTAATAGACATCACTTAGATTTCTGCAAAATCTAAACGGATTAAACATCTGATAATTATTTTTACATTGACTCAGTTTAATGAAGATTAAGTGCGTAGAGAAGCGATTAAGGACATTAAAGCATATCTCACAGTATGGACGAGTCGATAGCACCATTAATTATCTTAATTCAGAAGAAAACAGCAAGAATTAAACTACATTTCTCAATTAACGATAAGGATAACGGAAGCAATCTGTTTCCATAAAGACGCAAGCAGATCCCACCCAAATTCCTAAGGGTAAACAGTAAGAATCGCTTTTGAACAGATTCAATGGAATCTACATAACACCCATACAAGGGAGACCCCACAGTCATACTCAAGTATTGGTCTAACTAAGCACATATGTACCTTTTCTGTAATGCAAGAATCCTTTAATTCTTTTGACCACTTTTTAATGAAAGCAAACGCGAACCGACCTTTATTTAAAGAGAGCTTAATGTGAAACTTAAAACGTAATCTTTGATTGAATAGAATCCCTAAATCGACGAACGAATCTACGTTCTCCAATTTATGTGAATCATTGCAATACTCAGTATTGAATGAATTGCCCCT